GGCAGTAATCTACTCATTTCGCTTAAAACATTTGGCCCCCGATGGTTGCCGCGGGCTTCTGGTGCAGGGTGGCCACAGTTGGCCCTCTTCTCCCCTCTTGGACGGACAGAAGAGCAGCGCATCGCTCACCTTCTGCCCCCAAAACTTTGGCACAAAGACTACCGTCAGAGGCACCAGCATCCTTTTAGGGACGCGCGCCGTGTCCCTTTATCCCCTGGCCTTAGTTTTTCCCAGGAAGCAACAGCAGTATCTCCACACACACATGAAGGAAAATGAGACCTGAATGGGGAAACTATGTTTTTCCAAAATGTAAAAGCCCCCCCCCCACACACACACACACATATACAGTGGGGGAAATAAGTATTTGACCCCTTGCTTATTTTGCAGGTTTGCCCACTTACAAAGAATGCAACAATCTATAACTTTTATCATATGTACATTCTAACAGTGAAAGACAGAATCCCAAAGAAAATTCCAGAAAATCACATCGTATGAATTTATAAAAATTGATAACCATCTGATGAGGAAAAATAAGCATTCTTTGTAAGTGGGCAAACCTGCAAAATCAGCAAGGGCTCAAATACTTATTTCCCCAACTGTATACACACACTCTCTCACTTGCTCTTAGCGTCCTCTCTCGGTCAAATTAAACCCCCCCGACCGCTGGCATCGCCTCTCTGCCAGCTGTGCAGCCTGAGTCCGGTGCCAAAAGAAACAGGAGCTTACGTCAGCCTCCAAACAAGGAGCAGGCCGCTTCAGCCTGACCCCAAAAGAGGGACTCGGAGAGGTGGAGGTGGACGAGCTCCTCCTCATTCAGACACACTCCCCCATACCTGTTTGCCAGTGCAGCGCACGTAGAGCCGAGTCTCGAGCTCCTCTCCGTTCCCTCACTCTCATTCATCCTTCCTCTCCCTCTCTCCCCCTCTCCCTCTCTCTGCCGCCTCCATTCATTCACAAGCGGAGGACGACGCCACCTGCGAGCAGGTAAACAACAGACCCGCCGACATGGCTTTTTGTCAACGTGCGCGTGTCATCCACATCCCCGTGCGAGCGAGACTACGGGAAATAACTGAATCCGCGCGTGCCGTCGCTATTCGGAAGACGTTCGCGGGTTAGGGGAGCGCGTGTCCGCGTGTCCGCGTGAATGAAAGCTGCGGCGGGAGAATGGACGGAACGCGGGGCTGCGCGCGCGTCCGGGCTCCGGGCTGGGAGTGACTGAGCTCCATGTGCTCAGACCAGGGAGCCCTCCCGAAGCCTGCTCTCCATCTCTCTCTCCCTCTCTCTGTCCCCCCCCTCTCTCTCTTTTCTCCCCCCCACACACACATACATTTCCCGGGGTTCCGTTCTCCCTTTTTCCAGCAGCAAACGATGCCGTTCAGCTGACGTCTGCGTGAAAAAAAAGGGTGAACACGGGCGGGGGTCCACAGACTCGCTTTAGTCAGACGACTCGAGACGATACAACCAGATTTCAACGCTAATTTCGAATAAAATCCAATAACCGGTCGCTCTGAACGCTACCGCCGTTACTGGTTGTGGGACTTCAGTAAGCGTGCGTATTTTTTCTCTGAGCAAATCTTTTCGAATAGCAGCACAGGTTTTTACTCAATTGGAGAAAACCTTTGCGGTCCGGTTTTGTTAAAACCCCCCCCCCCCCCTGGACAGTTTCAGTTTCCTTTATTAAGGACAGAGTTGAACAACTGCAAAATCAAGACTTCCGGAACATTGATTTTTGTACTATCCTCTCGCTTTTCGGGATGGAGGCACCTCTCTGCCTGCCTGTGCGTGTGTGTTTGTGTGTGTGTGTTATTGGTGAGGATGCTCGAAGATAAATTTAGCCTTCCAGCTCTCCTTCCATCTGCTACCACATGGTTTAGGGCCGTTACCATAGGAACCGCTGCTGGGTGCCAATTAGCGCGAGAAAAGGAAATTGACAAGGTTTTTTTGTTTGTTTTTTAAATCCGCCTTTTGTTTCAAACCAGTATTACATTTTTTTAATTCGATTTTATGTTTGGTTTAATTTGTTTTTTGTTGTTTTTTTGTATTACAGGCCTTTATTCAACATTGTTATGTTATTATGTAATAAAATGCTCAATTATTAGACATGGAGGACAAATGTAGCCTACCATCAGAATTATTAAAGTTAGAAGGGCCATTGACTTTATCATCTAACAGGTCTTGAAGTTATTCCAGATGACTAATCGTACGTAAATGCTTAAACTTTATGAATTGGGGACCTCTTGGTCTGCAGTATTGACCGGCAGTCAAATGCTCTACCAGTGAGCTATACACCCCCAGCACCGCCAACTTAATGTTTTAATCATATAGTCACAGTCTGTCACATGATCACACGACTCTGTTACCAGGTCATTTATGGTGGAGATTATCTTAAATGAGCAAATTTGAATAAGAATAACTGAGAAAATGTGTGTTGATGGATCACACAAAATGTTGGATTATTACTTTTATTATATAGACTCCTCAGGATAGTATGTTTGTGTGTGTGTTTATACATAGATATAGATATAGATGTATATAGATATAGATGTATTGTATATGTTCTTATTTATTTTTTCTTTGTATTGATAAACCATTAAGGATATGTAAACCAGCAGTAAGACCTTCTACAAATGTGGTGTCATCAGGCAAAAGCTACTTTGACTACCTTTGTCTGTTTTTTATTTTATTTTAACCTGTTTATCAAATCATTCTAGAGAAACCGTTTACTTATTACTATTGATGTATTAATATTATAATAAATAACTAAATGAAAATCAGTTGAAAATGTTTTGGAAAGTTAAGGCCAGGGGAAGAGAGAGATCAAGAGAAAATGGATATACTCCTTATTTTTTGTCAATATTTGATACACTGTAAGGGTTTAACAGGAAGAACGCACATAATCATTACTCTTGTTTTTTTATATCTCATTAATAATAAAAGATCAAATCAAATTCAAAGCTTGCCCAGTAGAATTGTCTTTGGTTCATATGATGAAATGAATGTTGCCAAAGAGACCTGTGAACCAAAAGTTTTCTTCTTCTGACTGGCCGCATCAAAGTTGAGGTTTTATGAGGACGGTACTGTGTGCTCTGCCTCACCGACATGGCTCAATGTTACATAATAACGGAGCAAAGCCATGAATTTATGAGACGGAGTATGAAAGCAGATGTAACAGCGCCAGGATTTTTGCGTGCAATTCCTCAACGTCCTGAGGAACCGAACAGTGTTGCCGTAGATTCATAAATGATTGATTAGCAGACTGTGAGGCCTACATTACCCATCATGCAACTGATGCAAATTTAAGCATATTAGACTTTATTCATCAAACAGTCCCAAAGCAGACTGAGATCACATCTATTAAAGCACGTGCTGGTTGCACTTGGCATTTTTTTAAGTTGCAGAGTGAAACAACTTTAACACCGAACTTTACATTCAAACGTTTTTTTAATATATTGATAAATATTAATATATTATATAATTTAATATACTTTTCAACTACTTGGCTTTGATTCAAGGAGAGGGGAGACCTGGATCTTTGTGTAGAAAGGCTGCTTGCTGTAAAATGGATGAAGCCTGTGCTGCAGATGCGCTATTCAGTATGACTTCTGCTTGGGTTTTTGTCTCCCTATGGGTGTTTTGAATGTCATTCCAATGAGAAAATTACTTTCAGGGAAATGGTGTCTGTGATCTCTTTCCCATACAGAGCTACAATTGGTCTCAAAAGAGTTAGACCTATGGTTAAACCTGCAGAAATGTCCCAACATAAATTTTTTTATTGAACGCCTGGTTGTTATGAATATCCAATGGTATTATGAACACTGTGCCCATAATTTTTTCCAGAGACGGTTATCAACCTGTTATTAGTCATTTGGATAATAGCCATCATCTTTCCCGTCTTCCACCAGAATGTGGGTGTAGAAACCAGCTGGTCAGTGCGTGGGATGCCTTGTTTACCGTTTCAGTGTGCTGGCACAGGATATCATTGGGAAATTTCTTCAGTATATCCACTGTGGAACTCATAGCCAATAGCTGCCCTTCCTCTATGTCTATGCGACCATTGAAAATGTCTGAAATCAGAGTTAATCAGCTTGATTACCAGTATTAGACAGGTAGTGCTTTGTACATGTACTGAAGAGCAGCAAATTCCAATCATTATTTGAAGGAGGAATTTAGAATAGCATAGCTAATGTAGCAGTAATTATGTTAATACACGTGTTTGTGAAAAATAATCACGCCAATAGTATGTCAAGTGGTGCAATGATGTTAGAAACAAAGAATAAGTGATTTATAACAGCACAAATCAGAATTTGTTGAGCTAAAAGTAATTAATGATGTCTATCATCAGTGGTTGTGAGTTTTTTTCTCCTGCTAAGCTGGGCCAGCATGTGAAGCACAGTTGTCGCATATTGCAATTCATGGTTTGAAATACATAAACCTCACTTTTGGGAAAACTGTCTAAAATGAAAACAAATTTTGTTGCAAATCCTATAAAGTAAAATTACATTCAAAATAGAAAAATAAAACACATTCTATTGTGGAGCGTTTTCTGAAGAGAAAACCATTTTATCCAAACTGAGTTAAACTTGATCTCATGTTCAGTTTATATCATAAAACCAGACAAACAAATAAAAGACAGTTGATATGAAACAATATCATATGCATTTTCTGTGTATAATTAATTAAAATGTATTTCCTTGAAATTTACATCAAAATCAGCAGGGATACTGAGGGATTATAACATTGTAAGATTTTTACATTGAACATTTTTGAACATTGTGTATGTATTTTAATTTATTCTATTTTTTATTGTTGACATATGATCCTGCTTTGTGTTTGTTTTGTTATTGTTATTGCAAATGTTTGATACATTTTAGAAGAAAATATCACAAATATCACACACAAATGTTTTGCAATCTATGATTATGAAACATGGAAAAAAATCCATACTAGCAAACTTGGAGATCTTTTTTCCCTTCAAAGTTATCCTGCATACACTATTCTTTAGTAATGAGTTGTTTGTTTTCACAGATCCTCACAATGAGAAGATAGAAGAACCACACATCTATCTGAGTGAGCTGACCATCAGTATGTATGGCAGCAATTCCAGCTGAAGGCTTCATGATGGGATACTTTATGTCAACGTTGCAAAGGACTTCCTCCACAGCACGGCTTTTTACAGCAAGATTCTTTGATGCCCCTGTTTCGTCTCTGACTGCATCAGTCCATTGTCAAGCAATACATTTTAAGTAACCAGAAAAACATGAAGCTTGCCAGTCACGTAAGGTGGATCATTTGTTAGCATTTCCTCTTTTTAAATCTAGTTAATGATTTGACTTTAATTCTGTAGCCTGGTTCAGGCAGACGCAACCCAAGTGTAAACTTGAGGCTGTCCTTCTGTTATATGGAGGCCTTGGATAGTCATCTAACGACTGGGGAGCAGTCCGGAGGTCAACAGCATCATCAACCAGAGTCTTGTGAACGAGGCCCACAGCCCAAGTCTCCCTCCAAGTCCAATCAGCAACAGCAAACCAGTTCCTCAAAGGCCCATGGCACACCACAGCAATCCAAACAGTCAAGAAGACAGAATCCTGACCGAAAACGCCTCAGACACCAGCGGCAAAGCATCGACTCAGACCCACTGTTGGAACCCAAACAGGAAACATCACCAGCAACAAAAGCATCCACAGCTAAAGAAACATCCTCGGCAGATGACCCAAGCCAAGCCAAATCGGAAACCCAAGAAGACAACCCAAAACAGAAACGTGAGCGTAAGCCTCAGAGACCCGGAAAATATGTGTGCACTTACTGCGGTCGTCCATGTGCGAAGCCCAGTGTCCTACAGAAACACATTCGCTCTCACACAGGTGAAAGACCATATCCCTGCGCTCCATGTGGTTTTTCTTTTAAAACCAAGAGTAACCTGTACAAGCACCGTAAATCGCATACCCACAGAGTGAAGGCAGGTCTGGCACTTGGGGAGCCAAAATCTTTAGAGGAGCAAGTCACAGAGTCAGAGGATGAAACAAGACAGCTCTCATCAGCTTCTGCCCTCACAGAGAGACAAAGCAGTTTAGCCTTGATGAAAAGTCATGAAACAGATGTGGCTAAAGATAGCACTGGAGCAAACAATGACTCTTATGCTGTTAAAAAAAGACTGGCTCTGCGGTTGAGTCGAGGAAAAAATGCTCCTCAAGACTCATCTGATGAGCAGGCTTCATTACTGACATTAAGTAGCAGAGGTAGTACAGAATCTGGCTATTTCTCGCGCTCTGAAAGTACTGAACAATCACAAGACAGTCCCCCAAACACAAGTGCCAAAAGCTATGCGGAGATCATCCTTGGTAAATATGGACGTCTTGGACATCTCCAGAGGATGTCTCGCCATCAAAACCAGCAACCCCCTGGTCAGGAAGAAAAAAACATCCAATTCACTGTACCCAAGAAACAGGTCATTGATCACATCACCAAACTGATTACTATCAATGAAGCAGTGGTGGACACGAGTAAAATTGACAGTGTGAAACCAAGAAAATTCTCACTCTCGAGAAAGAGCAGTTCAGAGTCTCAAAAGAATTTAAGTATAAAAGAATCACTTCTTCACAGCCCAAAAGCTGGAGATCTGGGCTATAAAAGCACCGGCTCCATTAGCATGGGAGTTCCATGCGAAAAATTTCAACATCCATCCCTAAACGCAGAGCAGCCAGCTGGACAAATAACCACCGCCCCTTTGGTGAGAAGTCAGTCAATGCCAACTGCAGCTAGTTCGTTTGAGTCCCCCAGTGGCGGCCCCTGCAAATTCCGCCTAAGTCAGTCCTTTGATGATCAACAGCCTTCTGAAACACAGATGTCCCGTCGCTATGGAACGCTAAGGCGGCAGCCAGCTATTGAAATCCCTCTTGGTGCTGAGCTTATAAAAGAGGAGCGTGAGGTTTCTCATCCGTTTTACCCTGACAGCGTTACCACTGTGCCTGACAAAAAGAAACATCTACCCCAGCCATATGAGTGTGAGGCCTGTGGCAGTGGATGCAAGGATTGGGAAGGCTACAAGAAACACAAGCAAAACATGTGCCTCACATATCAGCCCCAAACTGAGGGGGCAATTTGTCAAATGGAGTGTTCACAGCTTAGCAAACATGCGGTTAGAGCAGGAGCGTCAACAATGCGCAAGAGAAGGAAAGAAGAGAGTATTGAGTTTGATGACCCTTCTTCTCCTGTATTACTCTTTTCATCTCATTCATCAGGACGTTGTAAAGATGAAAGCAATGTTGTTCACGAAGGCTCAAGAAAACCTGCACTGCAAACTTGTTCAGTGATTCAACACACAAGTTCATTTGAAAAACAGGAATCTTTGTGTCACGAAAGTCAAAGTCCAGATACGGTAAAGAGCTCCCCTCCACACGAAGACTATCAAAAGGTGCCTAGCAAACTACCCCAGCATACCCCAGCCCGAAAGCTGGCTCGCCAAAACAATGTACAGGTTCCAGAGATACTGGTCACAGAAGATGTCAACATAAGCAATGAGCCCTCAGTAGAGCCAACCTCTACCCCAAACACTTTGGAGAAACTTGATGAATTTCAATGGCCACAGAGGGGTCCTTCTCTAGCACAGCTTCCTATTGAAAAGCTTCCACCGAAAAAGAAGCGGTTACGTTTAGCTGAGGCCGCTCAGTCCTCAGGGGAATCCAGTTTTGACTCTATATCCTTACCCCACAGCCCTAGTCAGGACAGTAGTGCATCATATGCATCCAGTCGCTCAACATCCTTTGAAGAACCCAACAGACATGACATGGAGATGGGAACATCAACCCCACTGAGACGATCAAGAGCTTCTCACATGTTGACTGTACCGGGCATGCATCAGCACAGAGAGATGAGGCGCTCTGCATCCGAGCAGGCCCCCCATGACCCACAACAGTGTGTCACAATGGCCGAGACCCGCAGTAAGTCTTTCGACTACAGTAGTCTTTCCCCTGAGCGCTCTGCAGTGGGCTGGAGGGAGAGGAGAAAATGCCTTCTTTTGAGACATGCAGCTATTCAGGACCGAGATGAGGAGGAGCTGCAGAGTGCCACATCGAAACGTAGTCCTGAACATGTCGGCCCCAACAGACCCTCTCAAGCTAGCCCACCGTCTGTGTGTTGTAGTGGTTCACCTTCATCCCCATCCTCAGGAGTCTTGGGTAATCCTGTGGGATTACAGTGCAAAGAGATCTTTACTCAGTGGACACAGCAGAAAAACACTCAGCTAATGGGGAGTACAGAACTTTCAGGTGCCGTTGACCATTCTGTCGTAAAGAAGGAGGCCTCGTACATTCATTCAGAGCAGATTCCTCCTCATCCACCACAACCCAGTCTTACATATGGACTGTCAGGGGCAGCCAGAGCCCACTATCTACCTATGTCTACTGGGCTAAAGCTAGAGATTCCTTCTCAACGGGATGATTATTTAGAGGTTCAAATCAGTCACTCCCACACCCAGCGCTCAGTCCCTCACATAACATCCAGTTTGGAAGTACTCTCACCACTCGCATCTCCAGCTGTAGCAGTGCGTCTCCAAACAGACACCCTCACTCCAGCATGCGCCATATATACCACGTTGTCTCAGTCCACCTCCCCCATGGCCCACGAGGCTTTTGATGCCGTTTCGCCCAATCCAGGCACGTCCACCACGGAGTACAGAAGCGGCAGAACCATGAGTCCAGATCTGCAGCTGTGTTCGGACGATGGCCTAAGGTCATTAGGCTCAGGGGGCAACAAGCGCATGCTTTCCCCCTCAAACAGCATGGAGCTCCATCCTGAATCACAACAGCAGCAAAAACGAGTTAAAGAGGAAGGGGAGAAGGGGGTGGGATCCACTGATTCAACAAGAGTCGACACACGCAATAAAGAGGTTGAACAGGAGGGTCAGACATGTTTACCAAGAATTGCTTCGTCTGTGTCAACTGCTGAATCCTTCCCCAGTCTACTGTCCAGCACCTGTAATAGTTGGTGCTATTTGAACTACATTAAGCCAAACCCTTCTGCTCTAGAGGAACAGAATCCCTCAGTTTATTCATCTTGGTCTACTAGTAGCTATGACCCCAATCCACCTGGGCTTTCAAGCAAGACAGTTCTCTCTCTGCTGCACTGCAAGCAGAGGCTGAGTCCCTCCATTTATACCACATCCCCAATGTCAGTCACGACGACTGAGGCAATGGAGCAAGAGGACAACAGAAGACCCTGCGCCACTCGGGTAATTACACTAGTTACACCTGTCCGTAAGTTAGCTAGATTAATTGTACGATATTTAACCGGCACAAAAGAAAACTGGGAATCAGTAAACTGATTAGAAAATTTGGTTACTCAAAATCCTGAAAGAGGACGAATGCCAACGGGCATTGAGCTCTGAGGTACGGTTAGGAAAGTGGGTTATTTCTGAGAAAATTACATTTTTTTCTCGAGGAAGCTGAGTAACTTATGTATAATATGACAGGAATCGACCAATGAGAATTCCCAATTTTTGTCTCCGGGCATGCTGGAGCAGAATTTGTGAATTTGTCCATGTCTTTTTCAAATTTAGGAGTACAACAGCTTGCCCTCCTGCGGAGACCACAAGGAGACGGGGAAGGGAAAATTGCTAGCAGATGATGACAGGTCGAGCAAACGAGAGGAGAAGGAAGAGAAGAAGCAGGAAGAGGAAGACCTCTCATTTTCCAGAAAAAGACAACCTATCGAAGACTGGATCTGCAAGAGAGAGTGAGTATGACGGATCGTTCAGCACTGTGGATCTAGGTTGTTACATTAGTTTGCTTGGTTACACACTGTGTGTGTTATTATTGATGTCCATAGTTACTTGCCACGTTGAAAGCTAGCAAAACTGCTGGTGTTTCCTAGCTTCCTCCACTCCTGCAAAGATTAAGTTATACTGCATATTTATTTCCGATAGTCAAACACAAGACAGAATAAAACCAGCCCAGGTCATCCTGAATTAAACCTGTTTTTAATTTCACTTTACTTTTGAAGTTTTTCTGACACAACTCTACTCAAAACAATTTTAAGACATTTTCAATTTAATGGAGCTTAGAGGAATTCACGATGTAATGTGACTGCTGTACAGACAGGATTTAACTCTTCGTGCGGAAGAAATGTTTACGTATTGATTTAAGTCAGCCTTTAAAAGAAAGTAACTTCTTACAACCGAACCTAAGCATGGCAACCCAATTAAAAAGAAAAAAAGTTGATAGATTGACCAACGGCAGACTTGTGTTAAATGTGTTTAAACAGAAATGTTTCAAAATCAAGGCTCTCACACCTGGACTAGGTGAACACACTTAGCTAGACTAAAATGGACTTATGGACACATATGGTCCATAAGTTTGACCTTTTTCTAAGCATCTATCGTTACATTTCCAAATTATTTCGAAAAATAACTGGATATGACACATCTGACTGAGATGTCACATTTCAATTGGGAAAGTGAATAACAATAATTAGTTGAATAATGAGCTTCAAAGCATCCTGATAAGGACAATAATGACTTGAAAATATCTCTGATTGATATTTAGCCCCATCTGAATTTTCATTTTAAAGTGAGACTTCAAGTTGAACACACACACACACGCATTCAATGAGTCTGAAGAGCAGTCAAACACGCAATTTCCACTTTTGTTACCTTTCGTAAAAAGGATTAGCCCACATCGTGCAGAGAGGTGCCAGAGAGGTGCCATCTGTGTGTGTGAATGTGTTTGTGCACAAATTCCTGTTGTGACTCATGTTGACACTGCAGCCTTCCTGAAAGAGTGAGTCATCCTCTAACCCGCTCGCTCTCACTTTTCTCCGTCTGCCCAGTCAGTCTGAGGCGCAAAACGAAGAAACGGAGGCTGCCAGGCTGTCAAATCTTTGCCTTTTTTCTGCTGTTTAGGGAGAGGCTGAGTGCATGCATGCACATATCAGGACGCTGAATGGGTGCTACATGAGGGGTTTATGTTCATGTGGTGTGCAGGCATGAAGGTAACGTGTGTCTCTCTTTAATTAAGTTTCTGGAGACTGTAAATGCCACCATTTATGGCTCCTGCTGAGTTTATCCAGCCGCACAGCCCACGGTGAAAATACAAGAAGAAAACGAGCCGATTATAACCAGAACCATTGTTTGTCATCGGAATGTGTTTTCACTTTCTGTGTTTTTTCATGCTTATTTGGAACAGCAGCTGGTATAAGCCAGGGGTTCCCTCCCTCACTGGCCTGTTTTTATTGGCCAGCAGCAGCAAACCCCAGGACCTTGAGCTAGGTCGTAGGCTCCCTCTTGTTTGGACTGGGTGGTGGTGTGAGGCAAGAGGGTGGGGTTAGGGGGGGCTGATTTTTTTTTGGCTTATGAAAGCTGCTCTGTTGCAGCTGAAGTGGTGCCTTGCTCAGGGACCACTCCGTGTACATGCAGGGGTGGACCCCAGCTCCCGCAGTGAGGGCGCCCTGTGTGGTCAAGGCCAAACAGATAACACACCTCCTGTGGACCAATTAAGGCAGTCAGCAGCTGCTCACAGGTGCCGAGGGGGCCACAGCCCTTCTGTTACACTCGTATCGATTGCTGCCTTCCCCCTGAGAGGAGCAGCAGCAATAGAGCGCTGACAGGGAGATGAACTGGAGGCCAAACTAAAACCTCTTAGTCTCTTTCACACCTACAGATCAGACCTGCAGTGCACTGCTGACAAAGGACAAGGTGGAAGGAAGTGTCGTTGTGAGGACCCCGGAGGTCAAGGCGAGGATGTTTCGGAGCTCTCCACAGAGTCCCTGCCGCAGCACAGTGATTCTCCTAACAGCAGCTATAAACGAACAGGTAAAATACAGTAAAACTGTGGATGTGCCGTAACTGTACCAGAGCAACCTGTTGAACACCTGAGATCTGAGAAATACAGTACAATAATAGCTGATTAGAATCAAATTCACAATCATAGTCCCATCAAATCCAGTTCATTCAATTTCAAGTTAATTCAGTTGGCACAGAGCCATTTAAACTAAACATTTAAAAGCTAAGGAATCCAACAGATTGTATCGAATCTTCACCTCAGTCCAATAAGCCACCGTGAGCGTGCACAAGGCAATTTGGGGGAGTAAATACTCGCTTTTCAGAGGAAGAAATCTCTGACCGGACAGGTGGCCATCCGCCTCGACAAGCTGGGGTTTGAGAGGACCAGAAAGATGGACAACAAACACCACAAAAGCAGCCCGGGGATACCTGAAAAGAAGGAAAAACACAATTTAATGATAAGAATAATATATAGATAAACGGGAGGAAACATAAACCTACTCAAAAAGGAAGGTTTTAAGTGAAAAAATCCACCTGTCAATTCCAAAGACACCAATTAGTGTGGCCAAATTACTTTTTGCTAAGCAACCTGTCCAAATTTCTGCGTGTTTCTCCCAACTTCGAACATTCTGATGGTTATGAGAACTCCACTAACCCGGAAGCACCTTGAGATAACCAGTTCCAGGTGTGAAACAAGCTTTTAAAGACGGGTTATGCGAGTGGAGCTACTTTAATTTCACTGTGTGATTTAAAGCAGCGAGTCCCTCACAGCAAGAGAGTTACCGGTTCAAGTCCCCGGTGTACTCTGGTTCCTCCCGCTGTCCAAAAAACAGCCATGGTAGGTTAATTGGACACTCCAAATTGTCTTTGTGTGGCCGTGAGATGGACTGACGACCTGTCCAGGGTGTACCCTGCTTCTCGCCCATTGTCAGCTAGGATAGGCTCCAGGAGTTATAGAAAATGGTTGGATTTAAAGCAGAGACTCACCATGACGCCTAATGGATGTTTCCTCCTCCAGGTTCTCAGCTCTGAGTTTCATCACACTTTGTTAACACACACACAACACAACGCATCTGTGGTGTGTGTTATTCCCCCGACCGAAAATAATTCTATCAGAACCCAGCGAAGCAAAATGTTCTGTTTGAGGTTCACTCATTTTTAGCTGAGAAAAAAGTCAACATTGGTTTGAGGTGGAGCCGTCACCATGTCCGATTCACTCCATGATTATCCCGACCAAAAGCCTTCATTATTACGATATCAATAGAAGTCATAAAAATATACTAACTGATTTTATTTTGTATTTTTTGTTTGCAACTTAAGCAGAAAGATGATCTGTATTTATCATCTGTATTCATTAATATTTCATGCTATAAGAAGAAGGCAAAAATGATTGTCTTATCCCATCAATAGCTTAAAATCACAAAAAAAGATTTTGCATTTCTGTTGCCATTACTCTCTGAACCTTCCACCTCCTCTCTTTTCCCCACACATTAAGTGTTTTGAGGAAAAGTTTAAGATGTTCTGTGCCTTTACTCACTCTGTGCTTACTGGTGTAAAAAGAATCGAGTCTAAACGATTGATTTGATTTATTTTCCTGCTTTTTTATAAGACCAACCAAATCATCCGGGACATCAGAGGAAACAAGCAGATCACGCAAAGGAGACGAGCGGCTGCCACGCCGAAGACGGGCAGTCCCCAGCGACTGACCCCCCTCTCACTGTCGGGGAGAAGGTTCATCAGGGAGGTGAGCGGACGGAGGCCGGACGCAGCTCATCCTTCCCGCTGACCCCCAACGACTCGACCAGGAGAAGCTCGGCCAGCGCCCGGAGGGCCCTGTTCGCCCGCAGACGCCTGGACGCTTCGGCCTCACCGCCCTCCAGATGTTCCCTCTCTCCGTGCGCCCAGTCCCTCAATCCACTCCGAGAGCCGTGCCCACTTTCGAGTCCCTCGTCCCTCTCCGCGCCCGCCCGTCGGGCCTCTCCCGTCCCACAGACGGTCGGAGCCGACCCCCCCAGCCGGAGCCAGAGGGCAGAGTCCTCTGCGTCTCGGGGCTCCCCAGCAGACGATCCGACCCCACGTCCAGTCTGTCCCCCTGCGACCGACCAGCTGTCTGCAGCCAGACCGGCGGGCCACCCCAAACAGCACACGGTGAGACGACCCCCATCTTCAGCATCTCAAATCTTTCAAAATGTTGAGGTGAACCTGTTTCCAAAGCGCAGGCCTCACTCACCTGCAACTCCACGGATGTCTGTTGGTTTAACTCCTTTTTAAATAAGTCCGCTTTTGGCTCAGTTAAATCCCAGTAAGTCAACATCCAGAACAAATATAGATAGGCAGGTACATATGAGGCTATTTTAAAAAGGTGCGCTCTCATTGGAAAAAAGGAAGAAAAGGCATTTCTCTTGTTTTATGTCAGTCAAGCCGAGCTTAAAATAATGCAGCAGAACTCCCAAATAGACCCAGCATGTTTTCCCTGGGCAGCCGCTGATAAAACCAGAAGCAGCCCAATCGTTAAATACCGACGTTTCGGACCACATGTCGGCGATGGAAACAACACAGCAAGTATCTCTGCTCTCCCCAGTATAGTTTATAAAAAAACAAAACACAGCGCCACTCCAAACCTGCGGCTGTGTCATGTCGTAACCTCCCCACTTCCTCCACACACTAATGTGGGCCTCACAGAAGGAGATGCTGATTTTATATTGTTTGCAGGGTTGGTGTTTTTTTTGTTTTTTTCACATCTGCACACATGTTCACAACCACACAGTTGAACGTCTTGGTCTAAATGTTTAAAACGCGCTGGCACAGCCCCTCTTCCAGAACTAAACTGAGCCTTTATGAGTCCATTAGAGCTCTGAAAAGTTAATAATCTCTACCTTTCCACTGATTTATCTGTAAACCCCATGAAAAAGTGGAAAGGAGTTCTTCAGGACTTCTCTGTTTCTATCAGATTTAGTTAAGATTTTACCCCACTGGGTCAATGCTGTCTTTATTTGTATAATACACCACCTAGTGACCACATTATGGAATTGAATCTAATCCCTTCTTAATTTCTTTTTTTAAACAACTTTTATACTGGACCAAAAGTGTTACCTGTTTAGTTCAAACTTTGAAGAAGACACTCAAAGTTTATTTCATACCAGCTGTATCAACCAGCTCATTGTTTTCTGATTATATGATACGGTTAAAAAAAAAAATAGCAGCGTAAGGAAGAGGTGGTTGGACAATGACACTGCATTGACAATACAAACACTGACTATTCTAGAAAAAGGGCTTAATCCAGGGAATCTCATCCTGTTGTTTGAGACTCCAGCACACATATGTTAGCTAAAAAGTGCTAATATAACACATTACTGAGGCTGGTGAATAAGGAACTGCATTTTCAGTTGCTCAGATATATTTGGACATTTGATTGAAAACCCATTTTGTGATGTGGGCCGTTCAATTAATTACAAAGAAAATCATTAGTTTAAGTAGTGAGGAGTTGATTCCAAAAGCAGCTCTTGCTGTAAATTCACATCATGCCTTAGAAGAGAAACGGAAACATTAAAGAGGATAAAGCTGCTTTTTAACTGCCGTTTATGTTATTTTATTAGCGCCCATGTTTTTGTTTTTCTCTGTACTAGAGGTTTCTGGAATCATTGGATATAGAGCCTTTAAAGCATTTTTCCTCCATCTGAGGTTAAATTTACAGCCACTGATTTGCATCACCAGTCGTGCTAATTGAAACGCCACGTAATGCCTCTTTAAATCAGCCACATTGCCCTTCTGTCTCATCAGAACACTGTGCTGTTAATATCATGTTTCCTCGTCATATTAATCCATGTTCCCTTCAATCCGCAGCCTGTTGGGGGGCTCTTTCTGACCCACGTCCCTCCACAATTCCCTCGGCCCCGGGGGGCCAACAACCTCCTGAGTCACCTCCCTCTGCACTCGCAGCAGCCGAGCAGAGGCCCGAGCCTCCTGATCCCCATCGGGGGCATCCACATGATCCAGCCCCGCTCCCCCCTCCCGCTTTACACCCTGGTGAGCGCCCGCACCGCTCCGGAGGGGAAGCCCGCCCCCAAAGAGCCGCCCCCCCACAGCGGACCCCGCCCACAGAGCCCCGAAAGAACAGGACCGGGGTCCGGGGGCGAGCAAACGGAGGGGGGCCGCCCCGATCCGCCCGCCCCGGAGGGACACGTTTACGCCGAGAGCAGCCAAGGCCAAAAACAGGCTCCGTCCTCCCCTCAGACACAACTCTGATAGGAGGGAGAGCCTGAAGGGAAAGTGCAAACAGACCGAGGACCAGCGAGAGGGTGAACTGATCTGACAAAAGACAAGAGCACTTAAACACCGCTTCTGAATGACGCTGTTATGTAATTACATGAATACTATATATATTTATATGTATATGTATATATATATGTGTATGTATATATATATACATATACATACGCACTGTTAGATATGCAGTATGTTTTGTAAATCTTTTTTACCCTCCCGTTTGATGTCATCGGTGTTTATTTATTAACGTGTTAATATGCAAATTCTGTACTATATGCAAAAGCAGCTGGAATGAAAAGAGAAAACACATGTTTTAATCGGTTTCCTTATTAACCCCCATTGACAGCTCTAATATACTACCGCTGTGTTCATGTACTGTATTACCAAAATGAATAGAGAAAAGTACCACACATATTTATTCGCTCTGACCAGTATTTTAAAGTGCAATTCAACGTCGGGACTGTGGTTTAAAGCGTCATCCTCGGAGGGCCGCGAGCCTTCTTTCTCGTCAGATTTTCCGTTGTCGTCTTTGTGTCCAGCGAAGCCGGAGAGAGAGAGAGAGGTTTCTGACGGAAAAGTTTGGAGTCGGAAGCCCGCTTCCCACAGGCTGAGTGCTTGGCTATGGTACAGTTTGTTTCATTTGTCACAAACGGACACGTGTCTTTTTGCGTTGTTGCTTTTTCTAAATGATACAATCACTCCGCCACTTTCATGTTTACCATTAAACTTCTCATTTTTACAGATTTCTATCAAAACTTTGGTTTGTGTCTTGTTTTTTACATCTATTTCTTTATCTATTTCCACACTTTGCAAAAACTTGTTTGCACGTCTAACAGCTTCCACTTGCATTTGGATACAGGGTTAATTCAGAAATGTAGCTTCCTGCCTGAAACAGAGTGGTTTGTGAAGTATAAAATCAAAATATATGGAAAGTCAATAGGTTAAAGGATGTGATCAACATCACAGCAATCAAACTAATCAGCTACAGACTGTTCAACTGGGAAAACAGCAAATAACTTAGAACGAGAGCTAAATAAAATATATATTCTGGTTTCTAATTTTCACATATTGATACTTGCAGGGTGCAATAAGATGCACATTAAAATGTGGAGATATTTTCATATCCAAAATTCCATACATGAACAGGAAGACAAATCTAGATGTATTTAGTCTCTAGAAAAGGCGTGAAAAAGCGGTCGATTTAATAATCCTCTTAATCCACCTTTAAGGAGATACTGTGCTTAAAGTCTTTCAGTGAGCCTACGCAGGAGGACTCTACTCCATTTAAGCTTAAAGCGGTATTATCTTTGTTTTCTCAGGGGCGATGATAAGATAAGTAGATTAAAAGTGTTTTCTTGGATGTTTTTTTGACCCCATTTACAAGAGGGATTTTCCATTTGCATTTTTTTCCTTGCGTAGTTGTACTACAAACCACACAGGTGCTTCACGGCACCACAGGGTGGCAGCAGAAAACAACACCGTCCAGTCAGATTCTTGCTTTCTTTGGAAAGAGATGACATCATATTCTGAGAGTGGTGAACCTCCACCGAAACCCTGCGGGGGATCCAGGTGAATATTTAGTGCCTCTTACAGATCGTCGTCATGGAGAACTCAGTTAATAGATAAAAGAAATTTTGTTCGCCCAAAATCTAGTTGTTCCATCACGGTTTCTCCTGTTAAAATGAATCTGTCTATCCCTATAATGCCAAATGTATCATATATGATACATACGGTTTCTGAAGTCTTTTGGATCTGGGACTTTTTCTATCATTCAATGGTAAACACTTTGCTCAAACCCTGTTGTACACACCCAGATATACCTGAAAACAGCCATTAGAAGACTACACCAAAATATATTTTTGACTTATTGCACGCTAATTTGATCAAAATGATTTAGTTTTTTTTTCTTCATATGTTGTTGAGGGGCCAAAGACAGACTTAGGACTAAAAAAATCCAATATTCTTCCTATTTTTCTTGGATCGGGCTTTAAAGGGCTATAAGGCTTCATAAACACTCCAAAGCAGCAGAAAAAAAAAAAAAAAAAAAAATTTGTTCTCTGAAGCTGCAGGTGTTTTCCAACCTCCAACGGGAGTTTGGGATGGTGGGAATTCACAAATCCAGACCTAAACTTTTAAGTATGAAAAATACAACTACAAATGTGATCAAACTGACCTCTTTCCCATCAGTAAGTAAAACCATATTAAAACAATATTGGCTTTAACCAACTGGATCACAGGAACATCCACCATAAAAAGGATTAGTACTGTTTTCACAGGGGAAAAAACTAAACTAAATGAGCTGCTGTATTGTATTTGGTGTCAAACACCAAAACTCCTGGTGGAAAACATTTGTTTAAATTTTTTTAAAAGCAAAATGATGAAAAATTATCAGTGAATGAGGAGGACTCCCTGTTTCCACAGCACCTGACGCAGTGTAACAGATATCTCTGTTTTTTTATGTCATTTCAGCAGAAGCTGGAATATTTGGCAAAAGGCTGCGTCATCCCAAGCCTTTGCTATATTTGCAGTTTTAGTCAGTTGCATTATCCACTTTAAAGATAAGGCTCAAAGATGACATTTAAAAACTAAAGCCAGGAAAAACTTCATAGTACAGCCTTTCCAATTTTATATAGCAAACAGGTTTCTTTTTTTTTTAACTTGTGCAACTTCAGCCATAAATGCATTCTTTTGAAAAATCAAATAAAATGTGTTTTCATGACAATTCAACGCTTATGTTTTGAAATGATTTTTAACACTTCTGGTCATAGTAAATTCCAAAGTGTTTATGGGTCCTCCTGTATCTGTAATCTTCACACGGCTGTTACAGACAGGTGTGGTAGACATCTTCATCACTTGTGACAAGTACTGGCACAATGTTTTATCATTACAAACAGTTTTTATAGGGGTCCATATTTTTTTTAGCATACTCAAGATCCTATCTTTTAGTGACCTGATACGTCAAGCCCTCTTACTTCAAACACCATCAGCATTTGGTAATATTGCTTCCTGTTTTCATTCTTTTCCTTTCCTGTAGGAAAATCGTGTGGGCATTTTTTTGTGATGTTGTGTCACATTCCTGGTGGTGTGCTGATTAACATAAAAAAACTGAGATGAGCAAACGAGCATAATATGTTTGGTATTTTTATGTTAATCCAACTGTGTCCTTTTGCTGCATTCACAAAACGGTGGCAGAATTTAAAGGGAAAAAAACACCACAAATAACTATAAGAAAACATTAAACCAACATTCAAAGTCCCAATATAATTCAAACTTCCAATCTCTTTATGTAAAATGTAAAAGCACTTTTAATATCATGTTTGGTCAGGTTTAAACAAGTGGTGCAAGGAACCCCAAAAATGAGAATCAAATTAAAGCTTGGTGGAGAGTAAGAAAAAGTAAAAGGAAAGCCAAGCCTGGAGCTGCACTTTTGGCCATGAGAGGACGGGCATTTTCCTCAGTAAAACAGAGATGCAGGCTGCAATAGCTGGAAGTTAGCACCATCAAACTAGATAAACCCCAAGTTGTAGCTGTTTGTACAAAATAATTGAAAGTGAATACATTATTACTTCCACTTGCATATGCCCGTAGCTTCCTATTCTCGAAAATAACTCTGGTCCAGATGTTTAAGCTTGAATCACACGAATAGAAGAAATCTATGAAAGAACCTTAGCATAAACAGCCAAGTGAAAAAGAGTAGGCTACTGACAAGCAGAGATACTGGTGGGGCTGTCAAATATATTTTCACTAAACAATTTTGCATCACGTATTTAGAAGTTAGCCTCAGATATTTAATAAAAACTGGAACTTGACTAAACCCTATATAAGCTGGTGTCAGAATATGTAGAAGCTGGTGTAGAATAAGTTTCTAATCAGTCTCTAAAAGTAAGCAGACCTCTAGCAAGTTGTAGCTTTAGCTAGCTATGCAGCTATGTTAAGCTAGCAGTCTCTATAGCAGTCTGAAAAGTATTTAGTCGCATTATTTTGTACGCTCAAAAGCGAATGACCTTATAATGAGCCAGAATTACAGAAAACATGTAGTTTTGTGTGTTAACTGACATTGTGAATAAAGCCTTTGCTGGCATTTGCCCGTTTAGTAGTGATTCTCATTTGGAAGTGGAGTTCAAGGCCATTTTGTCAGCTAATCATCTTGAATTTTGTCAACCGAAACTGACATTTAGCACATTTTTTCCCAATGTATTGCAAACAGAAAGGGTCTTTAGAGTTGTTTTTAATTCTTATGAGTGCTTATTCTTATTTCATCGAAATAAGTCACGCACAGGCAGCAAATGAAATGGAAAAAAGAAAACTCGCCATTAGCCTGACACACTAAGCAGCTAAAGATAGCACACATATTTGGTGCTTAATGTCACTGTGTCTCAGCTTCAGGTTGTATAATAACCTGAGGACATTTTTTTCCCACCAAGAATGTTTTGAATACGTGGACCTGTGTAATTGTGTCACAGTTTGCATTCTCATCTCAAAGGAATTTTTAATGATTCTGCAATCGTGGCTCTATTATTTGTTTGTCATCGCGCCGACTCACATTCCTCTCTGTCGCCCTCAGCAACAGACGGAAGCCAGGAGCAGATAAGGCTACATTTTTTACACTGCCACAGTACCATGTCTGGAAAAGGCTGAGGGGAAAGGGGAAATTAGGGCCAAGGGGTACCTTAAGATTGAGCCCATTCCTCCATCCGACAAATATTTACTCTAGATCTTTTTTTTTCTTTCACTGTAACAAGCTGGTTAAATATCAGTCAACCTGCATTCTGACATCCTTTCAGCATTTCCTCTTTCCCTCAACCGTCAGAAACGAACGCACAATAATCCAGTCATGTTTTTTCCTCCTGTTGTTTCTCTAAGCACCTTCTATCTTTCAGGGTTTCCACTGGAGCTCTGATGTAAAATTCCTCAACAACACATTCCCTCTGACGCGACTTAAACAATTGTACACTTTCCTGTTTTTACTTTACTGTCCTTTTTTGCTCTTCCCGCTGCATGTCTTAAAACCATTTATGGTAAAATATGACTCAATCCAAAAAGCAGCGTGAGATGCTCAGAGACACTAATAGGCAAATACAATTTAAAATTTGATAACTTTATCTTAGTGTCCACTAACAAATAATTTGACTTGAACAGAGTGTGAAGAATGCCTTTGTAATTTTTACCAATGATGAAACACAAGTTTAAACTTTCCTATGACGAGATAAGATGGAGGTTAATCCAACCTCTGTTTCTACTTTTTGGAGTTACCAGAAGTTATTTGAAATGTATGTTCCCCCATTCCTCCATAGAGGTTTTCTGCTATCAAATGGGTTATGTATCAGTTTGTGCAGGTACATGCCTGTGGATTTGCATTATATAAGCTTTACTATAGCTGATAAGAGAGGAATACCTAAAGGTGTTTGCTTGCTTTTTCTTTTTAACTCTTCTGTGCGGGCTACGGGGGTTGCAATCTATGATGACTGCATGTGTTAGTGAGCTTTTATTGTATCTATGGTGGTGCATACGTGTGTGTTTGTGTGTGGGCTGAAGTCAGCCGATACGACAGTTGGGACAAAGTGTGTAACATGCAGAGATGCTGTCGGTGGGGGGGCGTCGGGACCATGACCTCACCGTCCTGCTGGGGGTGCTGACAGCCCTGTCCTTCATCCTCCTATCAGCAGCACGGCACATACTGAGCCTCAGAAGCCGCTCATCTCTTCCTCTGCCGCCTCCAGCTTCATCCGTCGCCTGTGGAAAAAAAACACACGCAACGGGTTTCACAGCGTTCTCTCCTCTGCAATGTAGATTTTATTAAACTTTAAATATGCAGGTCGATCTTAAAAAGTTATGGATAAGAGAACGCAACTTTGACTTTCTAAAATATACAAACAAATGATGATATTGCTAATTTACACACTTCGTATTAATCACATCTTCATTGACTTTTACCTCTCACTCTTTGTGTTTTCTTTTTTTTTTGCCCTTTGCAGGTAGAATGAAAAAATAAAAAATCACTCAGGCAGATAATAGCACACAGTTATGCTTTTACGGCAACCTAAATTTTTACCCACCACTTATATAACAGTTATTGTTACAGCCCTGAAGTTCCAAAAGGACAACTCTTACGGCTTTTTATTCTTTTTGAAAAAAAATTGTTTAGCTCAGTTTAATTTCCAAGACATTGGCTGTAGATAGTTTACTAGATGACACACTACCTGCATATTCATCCTGCCCCGTGTGGGTTTGCTGACAGTGTTAATAAGGTCATTTCTGGAATGTTTGTCAGTAGTAGCGGTATGAGTGGTGGAAAGGATGGGGGCTGCTGGGCGTAGTCTTGTGTAACAGTAGGAGGGGCAGTCACACATGGGATCTGTATAAGAAGCCGCTGTCGTGGGTAATATGAACACAAAGCACCTGTTGCTGCTCTCCAGCCTCAACATCAGACACCTTCGGACTGTAACCCACTCCTCAACATCTCACTCGGACAGGAAAAAGATGACGATGGCTTCCTTCATGAGCAAGATCATTACTTTATTCATCATCTGCATGACCATGCAAGACGGTGAGTTTGTTAATTTTTCAGTCTTTAAAAAAAAAAATTCCAGCTACTTTGAAATGTCTTATTTTCACAATGGTTTGTCTAAGACTTGGTCTAAGACTTAAAAGTTAGCTAACTTAGTAGTATATTAGAAATAGATATTTAAAGATTGGTTTTGAAAAAGGGGACCCAATTCAGGGAGAAGAAATAAAGAAGCAGGTGTGCTGTATTTTATTCTGCAGCTTTTGACCCTTGGGCATTGAAAATGTTGATAGAAAGATAGGTTACACTTGCAGAGAATAATTTATTTTGATAAGAAACACACCTTTTATGACTGAGTAAACTCAACATAACAACACTTTATTGAGCTTTAAGGAGCTCAGGCTGGCTTGCAGCAATGTTTGACTTGGGTTAAGTTCTTTGATTTACAATATAATAAATTGGTTTCACCAACCATCACAACATTTGTTTAACCATGCTAGCTAGTGGATTTTATTTCGATAATCTTTAACTGAGCAGTCAAGCTGCAAATTCTTACTTTGCGCTTTGTAATCTTGGTATCCTCTCGTGCTCTCCTAGGTTGTGGACTCCCCTTATCGGATCGGCAGGACCTGCCGCTTCAGGCACCGCATTCCGGCCACATCAGGACCAAACGCTGCTCCTGTAGCAGCTGGGAGGATAAGGAGTGCATCTACTTTTGCCACTTGGACATTATCTGGGTCAACACACCTAGGTGAGTTTTAAAAGTACCGAGTCAGAAAAGCCAGATTTGTTACATCCTCTGTCTATCCTGATCCCTATCCCATCCAGATCCATAGCTGTTGTCACCAAAGCCCTGAAGAATGACTCCAAACATATCCCACAAGTTTACAAGTTCTAATGTGTTTAATTTTTCCTTTACAGTAAACTCATTCCTTACGGTATGGGAAGTCCCTTGTCTCGACGCAGGCGGTCAACCAAGAGATGCGAATGCCTTAACCCTGCCGATAAATCCTGCCTCGGCTTCTGCCATCAAAGGTGAGAGACGTTTCCTCTTTCCTTTCACCTCTTACCTACATTCCCTCACGTCTGTGTCTTCATTTACCCTCCTGTGGGTGCGAGATAGTATCAAAGTAGTAACAATGTCTCTGTCAGTCTTGGATGATTTGCCTGGAAAGTATGTGGATGAGGAGGATGAGCTAGATGAAGGCTTAAAGATTGGTTCTGTGATAATGGTCCTCTGGCATGAGGGTGGCTCTGATGGTGCACAAACAGGCCCTCAGAGAAATGACAGTGGTTTATTAACAGGGCTGCTATTTTGGGAAAGTTTACATTTCTGCTCTTGCTCAAGGGGAATGTTTGTTGCGTCTTTGGCTTATTGTGTTCACAAAACCACCACTACGTATTAGCCGCCAACTCTAGATCTTATCTTAAGACGTTTCTTTTAAGACTTCTCTATATCTTTTAACCATAACTTTATAGTTTAAATTAAATTGCTTGGTTGATTTTAAAAAGAATATATCTCAAATACTATTTTTTTCTTTAATTGTGTAATTTTGTCTGTCCACAGCTCAGAGGATACTCAACAGGACACCCTGAGACCACTGAATGAATCTAAAAGCATTGACAGAAGCAAATTGCTGGTACCCTTCAGGTAAATATCTGAGAATAATGAAAAATAAAATCCCATGTAAACCTTTTGCTTTCTTATGGTATTATCTGAGGAATAAGGCCAGCAGATCTAACCTGGAATCTTTTTATTTGCCTCAGATCTGTGGTTAAGACCAACATGGCCATTGCAAAAAGCCTTCAGTCGACCAGGAGGAAGCACCCTGACATCAAGAAATTCAAAAACAGAACAAGACGGTAAAAGGGACTGAATGGAAACCAGAAGAAGTGCAATCCTCGTGGATTCAGACTCCAGGGATCAGAGACTCCTCTGGCTGGTGCCGCTTTCAGCACAAGGGAATCCTCGGAAACAGAGATGGGCACAGGGAAGGAAAAGGAGGAAATGCAGCGAGCATTTAGCCTCCAAAAACAGAGCTTTGGAGGACTGGAAACCCAACAGAAGGAAGGAGGACCGCAGCAGATGCAACCTTGTCTCTCTATGAACTTAAATCAACTTGAAGAAAAGTGTTGAGGAAGGACCCTACAACACCAAAGACATGAAAAGTGACTTTGGGGCTAGAGGATAGAAACGCCAAGAAAGGTTGCTTTGACCGGCTGGTGACCAGGAATCTGACCTTTCAGACAAAGCACATTTGAGACTCAGAATATTAAAGGATCATTAATCACATATACTTGACACATAGTTGGTAATATTTTGTCCATATCAAAATGTCAGGACAGATTATTAGTATTATATTCCTCTGTATCAGAGCTATAATCTGTTGCCCTGCTTGATGTTCAAGGCAAAAATCTCTCAATGTATCAGGCAGCACTCGATAACAGCAGCATGTTCGCTAACGGACAGGGTAGCAAACAAACTGCCACAGTGAAGCAAATGGCACCTCTTTTTGGATTTATGTGATAAACAATTAGCTTTTTCAAGTTTCCACTGTCAGCTCCTCCACACGAACACACACACGCACAGCCTTCCTGTTTGCATAAAAACACTGACACAGTCGCTCTATTGTAATGGCTCGAGTGTTTATTGCATGTAACTCCTATTTAATGTTCTGATTGAAGATAAGCCAGAAGGTTTCAATGACGTGCAGCTTGCCAAAAAAATGTAGCATTTGTTTTTCTCCCTCTGACAAATTGCAGACAAATTCCTCTGTAGTTTTTTTTAGATGGGGGATTTTTTTTACTCTGGTATTCTTTTCATAAGATGTTAACCTGTGAAAATAGGTCAAATATTTTCTTCTTTCCAAGGAGTCCATTCACTCCATCTTCTGAAGTCAAAAACGACTGCCTGAATGTGGAGATTTTCGTTTTCGCTCACTGTAACTCACAACAATATTAATCCTCGAATATCTTGTGCTGTATATCCCTCACAGTTTACAAGCTTCTGTGTTTACTGTTGATACTAAATGATAGCAATTGTTGTACACAGAAGAATTTATTTATTCATTAATTTATTAAGAATATGTATTTATATTTCTAAAACTGGAGCTCAAATTTTGTATGAGAATAAAAAGCCTTGAAAGTATTTCCTTGGATGTTGTGTGTATTTAGGATTTAAATAAAGAGTTTTGAAACTTATCCAAACTGATTTTCTCTTATTCTGAGGTGTTTGCTGCTCATGAAGAATTTCTTATTCAGGGTTCAAAGCTGGTTCGAGAAAAGTTTGCAATTAAGCTTCTGATTAAGTATTATGAACGTATTCCTGGTTCCCAAAACAACACTTTCCTACTATTGTGTTATACATTTTTAAGGAATCAGTTTTTTGGCCTTATAGGTACATTAAGATGACAACCATTTTAATTATGGGTACATTAAGATGATAACCCTTTTAATTATAACCTGATTTCTGAAGGCACAAAAGAAAAACACTAAGTTTTGATGATAAAATTACCCATATAAAGTAAACTATGCTACAGACTTAAGATAGAATTTCACTGCAAATTGACGAGGCTCCATATCGAGGGAATTTCTTTTAAAAAAGAAGGTAGTTTTTGATGAATAAAAATCAACTTTTTTAAGTGGGACATTTTATCACTTCATGAAAATGAATGGGTCATCTTGTATAAGTTTGGCAACATGCAGAATGTGGCAACATTTAAACCTCAAAGTCTTTGGTACAGAGCCATGGTTACCTCTGTGTAGCGTCCCAATTTTTTTGAACGTCTGGAAAATGAGGAGAGCAATTGCTTACAACAATCAATCTCCCTCAAAGGTGCTTTACAGTCTTTTTTTATTTTATTTTCCTGTATGATCCACCAGATGTTTTGAGTCGATGAAGTGTCTGAACCAGGCCAGTCCAGCAAACGCCAGTCCAGCAAACTAATGTATATGATCAAGTCATTCTGTAATAATAGCCATAGCATGTGATTAAGCATAGGGCATATGTCACCTAAATGGGAACTTGTTACGTTAAAATCTATATATCTTCTTTTATACTGATTTTAGCATTCTTATAGGCACTATTTCACCCCCACCCCACTATACCTGTTGCTATTCGACCTGAGTAGCTGCAACGTGTTCCTCAAGCTTTTTCATGCAGTATAGTAGGAAACACATCATGCAACGTCTTCTTTGTAACCACCATCAAATTTAACAAGTGGTTTTAAATTTTTTTAATGAAATGGTAAATAATCAATATTTGATACATTTACTTGTATTCTGTTCTTATTTACATTTTATACAACATCCCAACTTTTTGGGAATTTGAGTTGTACTTGTACAATTTTAATATCTGCATCTCAAATCAAATCTTTGAATTAGGTATCAGGTCTGACCTAAAAGAAGTCCCACTTCCTTCCTTCCAATTAATTAATTTTTTTTCTTAAATCAGTTTTTTTTGTGCAATATCAGCAATCTGTTGGTAATTTTTAGCTTTATTGGGCTTAGACAAGCCAAAAAATACATAACGACCTGTCACGTTCGAGAGAAACTACATATAATTTGTAAAATGACTATGCCAGGCCCAACTGTCAGCTAGCTCAGTTTGGGAAAGGGGAATTCTGAGCTACCAAGTTGGTGTAGTACATACTCTGACTGCCCGTTTTGAGTATTAGGGCACAAAACTATTCTACTCCCGCACCAATATCATTTTCTGTTCTTGAAATGAACAAATTCTGTCAATAATTCTTTGCTTTGGAACTCAGCTTCAAAGATTATTCGTTATTAGTTAGCTTAGCTTACAAAATTTTCTTTCCTTTAATAGATGTCTGTAAAATGTCACACTGTGCGATCGCGAAATCTTTGGTATGACATTAGTGTTTTTAGCTTTCTTAGCATATAGAATTGATTTTTTTTTTTTATTCTCAGCACAACATTCTGAAACTGTCATGAAAGGAAAGACTGTCAGCTTCAGGAGACCCTAAAGTCTGTTGAATGGTGGAGGGTTTCATTAATAGTGAGGTTTACACTTGTGATGTAGGCTTAAGAATGAAAACTCTCTGACTCGCTGTGGGTTAAATAACTATGGACTAGATGAAGGATGGCACATGTTCAACTGGCAATGGAAACTTGCAAAAGTTGAAAAACTTCTTTCTGCCTGGGATACATTAATTTGCATAAAACATAAAATATGGTGCAAAGACAAACAAAACTTAAAATCTCTTAGAAGAAATGTGCAATGTGATGCGACCTTAGTTAAATTAAAGAGTAGTAGACTTTATTTCTTTCTTTTTTTAAACAAATGTGAATCATTTTGTTATTATGGATGCTTTGCTTCATTTTCAGTGTGCTATATTGAACCCTGGCGGATCCTTTTTAATTTTTTTATTCAATCCACATTTTTTTTAGCATGAACTGTATCTTTTATCGAAGTTCACATGTGTCATAATAATTACTGATTGGCCCTTTTGAAAATGATTTGATGACATTTTCTTTTTCTTTTTTTTACACCTGCCTTAAATGATCAATGCCAATCTACTGGGTTTCCTCTGGGGTGTTATAAAAGCAGTTATAAAAGATGTTATGGATTTTCTCTTTGCTTTGACACTTAATATTCCTATAGTCTTGTTTTTACGTTCCAGGTTTGTAGGAAATTGGGAACAATAATCTCACCAGAACTTTCTACCAGGTCACCCAAACAACAGATGTTTTGGTATGCCAACACCTAAGTGTGCAGCCAAGTTTTTTTCTCTTCTTCCTTCCTTTGCAACAAACTTTATTAAGTCAATGTGGTGATTTTAATACTGTTCTTCACAGATTTAAATCATTTTTTATATTTGAAACATTCCAAATGGGGTTGCTGAAGAGGCGGAACCTATTTTAGCTGTCATTGGCCAAGAGGTAGGATACATCCCGGACAGTTTGCCAATCAATTACTCAGAGAATGGAGCATCAAATTAACCCTATAATGCCAAATGTATCATATTTGATACGTACGGTTTCTGAAATGTTTTGCCTCAGACATCTTTTGCATAATTTAATGGTAAAAGATTTGCACAAAATCCTATTGTACACAATCAGATACACCTGATAACAGGGGGCAGAAGACTACACAAAAAATAATCTTGGCTTATCGCATAGTAATAAATTATTAATATTAAGAATGTATTTCTGTTTTTTCTTTTTACATATTTCGTTGAAAGGCCAAATAATGAATTAAAACAAACAAAAAGGTAATTTTCTGTTTGGTTTTATTGTTGGATCAGGCTTTAAAGGGTTAAGAACCTATAGAGAAAATCCCAAGATATGTGAACATTTCAGTTTTTTGTTTTGTTGTGCATATTCTGCTACTGCCTTTTACAATAACAGACTGGACCCGGCGGAAAAAAAAATAAAAAAATTGAACGTTGGTCCAGGTTCATCCTCCAGAAGCAGGTTCAGAGTGCAGATTTGCATTAAACTCTCAAAGCTTTAAAAACCCTCTGCAGCGTCCAAAAGCAGGCGTGCCCACTTTGAAGTCTAGCTTAACATTTAACTACAAAGCGTGTACACTGTGAGCTTGCTGATTGTGAGAGGGCGCAACATAATAACAAGTGTGCGGTTACAACACACTGGATTTCTTTGTCTGCGGAGCGGCAGGCTGCGGTTTGGCTCCACGGTGGGCTGCCCACAGGCTCATGTTTACTTTAGATAAGGCGTTCTTCGAGAGGAACGTGAGCCTCAGAAATTGTTTATTATAGAGCATGCTGGTGACAGTTGGCTCCTTATTATCTGCAGGACATCCTAGGTTACAGGTCAGGTGTATGAGGGATGACAGATCAGAAAACATGACTGAGGAGCTGGCTCCATTTATACTTAATCGCTGGTTAAAGGGATGCTGGTTTTTGTAGTGTTTTTTTTAAGCGTGCAGTGAAGCTTGACTGAATACACAGCTGAGGGCAAATACTTGTAGGTTGCACACTATTAGCGTGCACCTGCAGTAACCTATCAAACCTGATGTCACCAAGAATTCAGACCCCCAGTGTGCATTATAGAGCGTGAATAGCTGACTCAGAGTGTGGAATAAAAACAGGATGCTATTTCTGCATTCCTTCGAAATTCCTTTCGCTCAGAAGAGAAGTGGGAGAGGAAAAGAAACAAAGGAACAAGAGCGTGATTGCTGCCTGCACAGGGGGCTGATATGGACTGGATGGGGGAGTGAGATTGCAACCTTAATCACTCCATTGTCATGACACAACAATCATTGTTTTGGTTTTATTTAACGTTGTTGCCTAGATTCTACTTGTTTTTTTAATATGCTGGACATACAGATGATAACTTGATAGTGAGTTTATAATTGTGTATGCTTCTTTTATGTCCTGCATCTATATTCAGTAAACATGTACTTGCCTTTGGTTAAGTTATTATTTTGAGTCTGGGACACTCGTATATGGAGAAATGATGATGTCCTTAAAAAAAGTTACAGGGTTCAACTGAACAAAAAAGAAAACACATGATAACTAGCGTAATAGCCCAACACGACTGCAGTTCTGGGTTCAGATAAGTCACTTATAAACTCTCTAATATGTGGTGCTGATGTAAAAGACAAACTAAGGGAAGGAAGAGCCAACTGCTTATATATATTTTAAACAATTTAAAGGTGGAATTGCCTCATGACTCTGTAATTCTCCTCTCCCTGCAAGCGTAACTACATATATATTCAGTTAATTGATGAGAAATTAATATTAACAAATGCAATTTTCAATATACAAAAATGTTGTTAAACAATAGATTTTAGTGCCATGTTCGTTCTTAGACAACTGAGGATTGTTTTGGTGCCACCAGGCCTCCTTAAAGAAATCACATGATAGACTGTGATAGTTAGCTGTAGCTAGTATTAGTTTGATCTGCTAGCTATATTGTTGCTTGCATTAGGTTACGTTTTGTGTGACAGATGCAATGTAATGCACAACTTCTGTACTTTACTTCTGTTGTAGTGGATTACATAGTGAATAACAGAGTAAAATGATTAAATGGAATGTTAAAGAGCACACAAAATATCTTCTAAAAGACACTGAGAACGAATGCATGTGAATGAGCGGCCATTTAAAACAGTTTCAGGGTCTACAGATGCGTTTCCTGTTGTGTAAATCTCTTG